TTGAAGGTAAGGATAACATGGAAAAAGAAAAAAGTAATATGAAGCCATTTCTTATAACTGGTGATATCTGTTTCCAATTTTTTTTAAAGATATAGTATTACCTCACAATAAAAGTATTTACATCTTTAGTTCATTTCAGTGCTCTCATGGTTTGCCTGCTTTAGTGGTTGGCACCATTGGGACTAAAATATTTACAGCAAGGAGGTATTGGCATTATTATTTTTGTTGTTATTATTTAGAAGCAGTCTGGTATAATAGAAACCTAGCCTTGGAATCAAGAAGACAAGTTCAAGCCACAGCCCTGTGTGACCCTGGGCAAGTCATTTAACATCCTAACATCCCATCCCCCACCCCAAGCAACTCTCTAGAAGTATAAGTTCTTCAGGAGTTTTTGATCTGCAATAGTAGGTGAATTTTCCTCCCTAGGAATTTTCTATGCCAGTGAAACCACTGGTATTCTTTTGACCAAAAAATTTAAAAAAACATTACCAACATCATTATTCTTAGTCTTATCCACAACTCGTAAATGACTTAGGCCTCTACACAGGGAAGGGTTGGTAAGCTTGTAAAGTTGGCTGCATTTCTAATCAAACTCTGCTCTTTACGTACAAAATGATGGTTGTTACAAACATGCAGACCCATTTAGAATTACACTAATCTGGCCAAATTCCATGAATATTTTTCCTAAATCTAAGCAGCGGGATGAAGATGATGCTAACAAGCTAAGCAAGGTCCCAAGATAACTGAGTAGGTTTTCAGGTACCAGAAAAGCATCCTGTACAGCCTAGAAGTGAAGGGAAATAAGTTGTAAAAGACTCTGAAATATTTATCTTTCCAACATAATATTCTACAGATCTGCAGTGGAGCTCTTGGGCCTCATAGTTTTGTATAACTGGTAAGGACCTGTAGATGAATAACATTTGAAGCTGCAGGACAAGACACCATCTTAAGAAATAAGAATTGCTGTTGGGGCATCTCAACAGAGAAAACCTGGGCTCCATGCACATGTAGCAGAAGCAGCTGAAGTTTAAGAAGTCTATTTGTACCTGTGGTTGTTCTTGCTGTCAAGTCATTTCAGTCATGTCCAACCCTTCGTGACCCCATTTTGGGGTTTTCTTGGCAAAAGACTCTGGAGTAGTTTCCTATTTCCTCTCCAGCTCATTTTACAGATGAGGAACTGAGGTAAAAATGGTCTAAATGACTTTCCTAGGGTTGCACAGCTAGTAAGTGTCTGAGGCCAGATTTGAACTCAGAAAGATGAATCTTCCTGAATCCAAGCCCAGTACTCTATCCACTGTACCACCTAGCTACCCATTCTATACCTAATATAGTTCTCTGCCCATTATATCCTAAATCAGAAGTCCAGAGTAAACAAATGGCATTCTAAGGGGTAGAGAGAAAGCTGCTTAAAGCTGATTTTCCAATCGGGGAATCAGGACACAATAATGAATCACTGAGTTACCTGCTAAGCCATGGCAAGCATGCTCACAGCTTTCCCTTCCATTCTTCTTGGGGATGGCCTACCATCAGACTGATCTTGGATTTATATCCCGTGCCTCTATATGGCAACTCATGTCCCTCTCTCTTGCTTAGAATGTTAGAGTCGGAAGGCACTCTGTTTGCAAAGGTGTTAAAATGGCCCACAAAACTTCTAATGGCTCAATTGGGTATGGAAAGCTATCTTATCCTACAGGGTAAGATAGGGGAGAAGAGAATAAGTGAACAGGTGGATGATAGAGGGCAGGGCAGATTGGGGGAGGGAGTAATCAGAAGCAAACACTTCTGAGGAAGGACAGGGTCAAAAGAGAGAATAGAATAAACAGGGGGTCGGGCAGGATAAGATGAAGGGAAATATACTTAGTTTTCCACAGCGTGACTACTATGGAAGTATTTTGCATGACTATGCAAGTATAACCTGTATCGAGTTGCTTGCCTTCTCAATGAGGATGGCTGGGGAGAGAGGAAGGGAGAAAATTTGGAACCCAAAGTTTTAAAAACAAATGTTAAAAAAAAATTGTTTTTACATGCAACTTGTATAAGACATACAAGCAATGGGGTATAGAAATTTATCCTGCCCTACAGGAAAATAGAAGAGGAAGGGAATAAGAGAAGGGGGGGGTGGAGATAGAAGGGAAGGCAGATTAGTGGAAAGAGTATTCTAAGTGCATGCTGTCTTGGGGTTGGGGGACAGATGAGATGAGGAGAAAATCTGGAACTCAAAATCCTGTGGAAGTGAATGTTGAAAACTAAAACTAAATAAATTAATGGATAAAAAATTTTAAAAAAGAAAAATTAAAAATTAAAAAAGAAATTAAAAAAAAACTTCCAGTGGCCAAATGGGATTAAAATGTAATTGGGAAATGTTTAACAAAATAAATAAAAATACAATATAACATAGATAATGTTAATTTGTGGTTCTCTAAGTCAATATGCAGCCTTCTAGAACCCATTTCTATTTGAGTTTGACACCACTGCTTTAGAGGTCATCAAATTTAAGAATGAAACCCCACTACATACAAAATACTCATAATTATCCTGTCCCTTGGATTAGAACTTCTTGATACTAGAAATGATGTCATTTTTCCTCCTTCTATCCTTTCAATCTAATACACAATTCCTTGAAGGTAGTCCATGCTTAATAAATACTTGTTTAATTGAACTTTTCAAGCCCTTCAAATAAGAGAAGTAGTGAACTTGGTAGCAAATGGCATGCTGGCTTGGTCTGACTAAGGGAAAGAATGAGAAGGCATCCAGCGATGTGTGACACAGGTAAAAATAAAATTGACCTGCTTCAGTTGAGGAAAAAGGATCACATCTCTGGACTGTACTCATGTAAAACTAGTGACTTACTTCATCTTGGTATACACACTTGAGTCTTAATCAATCACTTTAAACTGAAAAAGAAGCATATGGCCCACTCCTCCCCCTTCTATGAATAAATTTGAAGAAGGTGAAGAACTCATGACAGCACCTCTCTGAAAAGCAGACCAGACCATAATTTACTAAGGTCTATACTCACTCCTACCCCTAAGAGTCTGATATTGTAAATGAGTTGTAGTCTAGAGGGAAAACTCCCCTACAGCCTGGCCTCACAGTGATCTTGCTTACTGTAGGTGAAATATTTCTCAAGGTAAGAAAAAAAAAAGCTATAAATAAATTATGCTACTTAGGCCTCTTGTCAGTTGCTTTAAATGAATGATGGCTGAAATACACAAGATGGAGCTTTAAATCAGGGCCCTCTTCATCTGAGCCTGAGAGAAAAGATAAACACCAGCTCATCCTCAGCTGCAAGAGCTATTTAGGAAGAAATTAAAAAAGAAACAGAGAAGGCATCCCTATTGCTGGTCTGTATTCACTTCCAGCAATCCTAAGGCTACTTTGAGAATTGCCACAGGCCAGAAATTTGACCTTCTGGCCCCAGGGTAAGATTTCGCCTCCTTCACTCTTTCCCTCCTTCTCCTCTAAGCCAAGATTCTTCTGACAGGCAGAGAACAGGTCCTTGCCCCTTGCTCTCTTGAAACAGCTCAGAGTGCTTTGTGCAGAAGCCAAGAAGAAAGTGGCCCCATTTCAACCCTGTCTGTATTTGGGCCATGCCAATCCTACCCAACTGTGAGACAAATGAGGCAGTCTTCACTGCCTGGCTGGCCCTACCCTGGCAGTGCACCCTTGGGCTGCTATGAGACACTGGCCTTGATCAGCCCCTCAGGGAGACTCCCAGGGTTGCCTAGGTCCCTGTCAGCATCTTCCAGCTGGTTTTTTTCAATCTCCCCTTCACCTCAAGCACCTTTCGTTCTTGCCCAAACTAAGTTGGGCTATCAGTAGGTGCTGGGTCAACAGTTCAGACCCAGCCCAAGTTCCCCTGCTTTGCTCTCTCAGAATCCCTGTGTCTCCTCTCAGTTTCTCTGAGCTGCTGCTTAAAGGATGCACCTGGTGCATGAATCCCCTTTCCAATAGCCCTAACAAGAGGTCAGCCAGTCTGCATGGGATGGCCTTTGGTGACAGGGAGCTCACCATCTTTCAACCTTGAAATTCTTCCCAATGCAGCTGGATTTGGAAGATGCCATCAATATTTCAATACTCCAAGGACTTCGTATTTCATCAGCATGGGTATGCTCTTGACCAATGAAGCCTGCTATCTCCATTGGTTTTTAATGTGGCTGAATTGGTATCAGGCCTCCCTTAACTAAGCTACTTTGGTTCTTCAGTCACTAGATATCCAGGCTGTTATAGGGCCCACACTCAAATCAAAGTCTTGTTAATTCAGGAGGACTAGACAGAATTTTTGTTCTCCTATATAGCCTCGAAGAACTCAGGATTTCTTCCATACTATGGTAAGTTGTGAGAGTGGACTTTGGTGGTCATATTAATAGGAATAGCAGCTCACATTTATAAAGAACTTCAAAGTTTATAAAAGATTAAGAATATGGCCTTTTAGAAAAGTTGAATGATGGATTCACACTTTGGATAGGAGCTGGACTGGAAGATCTCTGAGAGGCTAAAAGCACATTAACTTCTGCTGCTCCCAAAGACAGTAATTGGTAAACAGAACAAATTCAATCCTGGCCTCCAGACACCACATTTCCTTCCTGGAAATGACTTCAGGCAAGGAGGCATGGCATCCCTGCATGGAATGCTTCTCAGTCATTACAGAACTATTCTCAATGCTGTGAATATTCTGAATTGCCAATGCAATGCTAGTGCTTCGGCATCCAATCCAGTCCCATTCTGTTCCCCTATCCATCCTCCAAATAATAGAGTGGTATTCTGAGTCCTTGCCACATGTATCAAACCTCATAAAGTAGTACTTGAATGTGTCTCTTTTTTGAACTCTTCTCAGACCAGTTCTGGTCACTTATCAGGCACAAAGCTTATAATGTTTGCCCATCAAATTGTTTTCTTTGAAAAACTACAATTTAAGTACCCAATACACCAAAAGCACTTTCAGCACTGCGCAGGCCTGACAGAAGGACTACTTTAGAGGGGTACCTGCATTCACTTACAACAGCTGGAGGATCATTCCATTCTTCATAAGAGATGGCAGCATATGGGTAGATCCGGTCATTGATGATCTGAAGGGTGGCCATAGCAATAGATTTCATTGACTGGAAGTAGGCTTCCCAGAACCATCTGGCCTGCAAGAGAAAGTAACCAACACTCAAGGACCACAGAAGATGCTTCACCCAGCAGGAAGTAAGCAGGCCTCCCTCCTGTGTCCTTGTGGCCCTCCTGCCCTTCTGGTTGACCCCTCCAACGCTTATGCACTTCCCACTCAAGCACTTGCTCTGGCTACCTGTGTGGGCTTCTCTTGTTTAGTACCTGAATCACTAGCTTCCTCTCTTTCTCAGCTCTTGCCCTTACATCAGGGCACTTCAACGTCTACACTGAGACTCTGTCAAATTCCTTTTGTTGTTGTTTTCTTGTTCCACCTGTGTCCAACTCTTCATTGCCCCCTTATAGGAGAAGGGGCCTTTCTTGGCAGAAATACCGGAGCGGTTTGCCATTTCCTTCTCCAGCTCACTTTACAGTCAAATTCTCTAACCTCCCTAAATCCTGTGATGTGTTCCTTCCCTCTCTCTCAGGGTCACACCATGGATCTTACCATTATCCACAAATGTTCCCCATCTTTAATCAAAAACACTGACACTGCTCTCTCTGAATCTAGCCTCCCCTCATGCCATGTCTCCTTAGGCCTTATCCCTCCTAAGCCTATTTTTTGTCTTCATTATGATCTCGAATCCCTCCACACCTCAGTTCTTTCTGAGTCTTTTTACTTCACTTTGCTGACTTCCAAATCTTGACTCAATAAGGTTAGCCAATTTAATTCCACAGTCATCAAATGTCAAATCCTTTATCCCCTTGTCTGATCATTGCTCCTCTTTTGCCAAACCTCAGTCCTGGATTACTCCCACCATCTGCCTCCTCCTCTCCAACTCACATGCTGATTAATGGAGCTGGAGGAAGTCACACAACCATGTTGAATGGGTATACTATAAATTCATGTTATCCAACTTCAACTGGGTCCTCCTTGGAGGAAGGCAATCTTTTTATTCTTCCCTAATTGATTCCCTATTTCACTCCCCTTAGAAACTCTTTCAAACCTCTTCTCTTCTCAAGTTTTTCATACTTCCCTCTCCTTCTACTCTTCCAGCTGAGAACTGCATCTCTTGGTTTACTAAGAAAAATAAGGCCACTTGCCATGGGCTTTTCTAATAAGTCTCTAATAACAAGATGGCCCTTCTTGACAAGGCCAACCACTCTACATGTGCCCTTGATCCCATCTCCTACCATCTTCTCAAGCACACTGCCCTTTTAACTATCCCCTCATCCTCATTCTGATCTTCAGTCTCTTCCTATCTACTGGTTCCTTTCCTACTACTTTCAAAAATGTCCACATTTCCCCCAGTCTTAAAAAAAAACCTTCAATATTCCCTAAGATCTCCTCAAGCTATTATCCTAGATCTCTCTCCTTCCTTTCTGAGCTTTCTACACTATTTTGTTACATTCACTTTCTCTCTTCTCTCTCACTTGCTGCTGAAACTTTTGCAATCTAGCTTACAACCTCATCACTTAATTAAAACAGTTCTCTCCAAAGTTCCCAACAATCTCTTAAGTGACAAATTGGATGGATTTTTCTTAGTCTTCATCTAACTTGACCATGGCTGACCATCCTCTCCTCCTGGATGCTCTCTCCTCTCTAGGTTTTTACGACACTACTCTCCTGGTTCTCTTCCTACTGTCTGACTGCTTCTTTCTCAGTCTTCTTTGCTGGTTCACCATCCACATGTATCTCCTAACTATGGGTAGCTCTGTCCCTCTCAGGGATAGCTAAAGGCAGCTAGGTGGCACAGTAGATGGAGCGCTGGGCCTGGAGTCAAGAAGACTCAACTTCCTGAGTTCAAATCTGGCCTCAGATACTGGGTGATCCTGGGCAAGTCACTTAACTCTGTTTGCCTCAGTTTCCCCATCTATAAAGTGAACTGGAAAAGAAAATGACAAACCATTCCAGTCTCCTTGCCAAGAAAACTCCAAAATGGGGTCACAAAATGTCGGACATGACTGAAAACAACTACACATACATCCCTCTTGTCGCCTCTATACTTTCTCTCCTGGTCGCTACATTAGCTCCTATGAGTTTAATTATTATCTCTATGTAGATGACTTACAGACGTGTATATTCAGATCCGCTCTCTCTGCTGACCTTTAGTATCCATTCTCCAATAACTGCCTATTGGACATATCAAACTAGATGTCCCAGAGACAACTCAAACTCAGCATTTCTGACACCAAAGCCCTCCCTCTTCCACATTCCTCTGCTCCCATTGAAGGCGCCACATTCTTCCAGTCTCTAAGATCTGTAACTTTGATACTGTTCCCTCCACATATTCAGTCAGCTGCCAAATCCTGCCATGTCTACCTTCACAACACCTCTGGCACCAGATTCTTAGGCCCCCCTCACTCAAACCCCATGCAAGGAAAGGCCCTTGCCGCTTCTCACCTAGATTGCTGCCACATCCTCCTCATTGGTCTCCCTGTCTCAAGCCTCTCCTTACTCTAGTCTCTCCCATACACACAATACATGCACAATTTTCCTTAGATTCATCTCTGGACTTTATCACTCCCCTGCTCAATGAACGCCAGTGGTTTCCTATTGCCTCTAGTTTACAATATTAACTTTATTTATTTATTTATTTGTTTTTTTTGGCTAGGCAATGGGGTCACACAGTTAGTAAGTGTTATGTGTCTGAGGCTGGATTTGAACTCAGGTCCTCCTGAATCCAGGGCGAGCGCTCTATCCACTGCACCACCTAACTGCCCCTACAATATTAACTTTAAAAGATTTAAAAGCCCTTCATAATCTAGCCTCAGCCTTCCTTGCCAGACTCAGTGCACACCATTCCCCTTCCTCCACATTCTGCAATCCAGGCTCCTTATGTACAACATCCCACTCCCATCTCTATGTCTTTGCCCTAAGTGTACTTCCTCCTTTGTCTGACTTCACAGAATTCCTCTTTTGCATCAAGATGCAGCTCAAGTATCAATTCTACATGAAGCCTTTCCTGATCCCCCCACTATGCTACTACCCTCCATCTATCTTCTCTGCATTTACATTCAAGTTCTTTATATCTATTTTTCTATACACTGCTTTAGAATGTAAGCTCATTGTGAGTAGGATTTGTTTCATTCTTGGCATTTGTATATCTAGAGCTGTGCACAGTGCCTGATACATAGAACAGAGGCTCGTGTCAACTGACTGACTGATGCATGGCATCTCCTGTGCAATTCTTCAGTGGTGAGACACTGCAGCCTGCTCACAATCACTCTGGTTCTCTCCATTGCCCTTCGGGTCACTTGTTCTCAGTTGGTTTGGGGTTCCTTTTCTCAGACTGTGAACATACTCCAGATTGTTTCACAGCCACAGAGCATCACTGGGAGACAATTTGTTCTTTCTCTAACCACTGAAACAACCTGTCTAAATCTGTTCAATGTTATATTGCTTTTCTCTTTTCTTTGCGATCAAGCAGGGAGTGACCAATCCTGACCTTAGCAGATTGACAATGAAGCATGCTTCCTTCCTCTCAAGAGAAAGATGGTCATCTCTAGGTGTGTTAACAGACACAGACCTCACGGTGACCAACATGCTTCCTCATTTCGCTTAGCTGTACTTTTTTGTTGTGAGGGAGGATTCAAATGGAGCCCCAGAGGGCGAGGGGGATGTGGTTTAAGGAGGTTATAGGAAATGACAGTAATGTTTAAGGAAGATCAATGAAATATTTATTTTAAAACATTTTTGAAAGAACATCTGTGTTTAAAAGATGGCATCCATGTTTAAATGAGGAACCCTTGTTTCAGGGAGAAGCTTGAGGTCATCAAAAATACTTCTCAATTTCCCAAAGGCAATCCAACCCACTGCCTTCCTCTTAATTCTGGATTCAATTCAGTGCCCATTTGTGATGTTTATCCAAGATCAATGTAGTGATAGACCAACTCTATGGGCCATCTACTCACTGCAAGTCTAGTGTAGACTAAATAGGCATATACTATATAAATACGTCCACGGCAACCCATCGAAACATGAGACATTATTAAAAGTGAGTCATAGAATATGCTCAATTAAGAACTGCTGTACTTATTATTATTAATGAATATAATAAATTAAAATAATTTGTGTCATTGTATTATTTAGCTCATACTTCCATGGTGTCTTAAGATTTACAAAGTGCTTTCCTCACAATGGATCTGAAGCAATACTCAAGGCAGTTCCTTTTCAAGTGATCATACAACCTACACTCCAGTCTCATGTTCCAAAAAACCAAAATCAACCCAAGCATTGAGAGCTTTTTCATTTTTAATCTAAGTTAAGACGATTTGGCTAAATATTCTAAAGTTCTGTGCCCATAGCTAATCCACGGAGGAGACAGAAACTCTTCGAGCTGGTAGGAAAGAGCGCGTGGTAACCAATCCACCCAGAACATTAGCCAAAAGTACAACTAGAGAATATGGCTTCAAAGTCCAAATGCCTCAAATCATCCAAGCCTGTCCACCCATCCTCAGCCCCATAGGAAAGGAAGGCGACTTTGCCAAGAATCACAGCTCAAGTGTTTTAGCCTGGGGTTAAGTGAACTTCCCAGATTAAATTGCTTCTGCAGCTCCTCAGTAACATTTTAATTTATGGTTTCTCAAGGACTCCAGTGCAGCAATTTGCCTCAGGGCAAAGGAGCCTCACAAAAAACTTTGTGACTTTCATCAAGAGGGCAGAATCAAACAGTCCATGTGATTGTTTTTTCTACAATATGGACCACATTTTTCTCTCTCCAGTGTCCGGATAGTGGATTCTTCATTTGTGTCCCTAAGAAGCCCCAGGAGGACAGGCCCTCCCCAGCTGTGACCAACAGAATGGCTGACATTTTTAGAATGGCATTTTAGAACTTCCCAAAGCACTTTCCTCATAACAATGCTGGGACTATAGCAGTAGACAGACCAGTTTACAAGAGTTTTTAAATTAAATATATCAGTTTACTCAGTTAAAAGGGAATATTATTTTTCTAGTTTTCCAGAGATCTTCAGAAAACTGGATAACAGCTACCAAATTGCCATGGGTTTACTGTTACTGAATTTAGGAATGTGGTAATTA